CAGTTTCCATACCAAGAAAATTAAAATGTACCTCAATTCCAAATATAAAATTTCATAAATATAATATTAAATTCTGTCATAAAAATAAAAATAGAATAAATTTCAAACACAAATATTAAATTAAACATATTAAAATTATAAATATTTAAATACCTTCGTGCAATTAAAAAATTCTAAAAACATATTAAAATTGTTAAAATCTAAAAAAAAATTCTCAAATTTTTAGAATAGACCAGTAAACAAACACACGTCTCCAAGAATACTGTCACTGATGCATTATTTCCCAAAAAGACGAAAAAGGAATCACCGTTTCACAGGCGGCACGGAAACTTTCCCGAGTGCATCAATGTGCAAGGCACGGGAGAAATGAAAAACGCAGTCAGAATTTATCCATTTCTCATCGGCCGTAACCCGAGAGGCGGCTTTCCACGAAACTGCAGCTATACCGCGCGCCACGAATGCCCGCCGCATCGCGAAACAGGTGCACGTGTCATCATTAATTTCTCCGTGACAGAACGATCCGGATCGAGAGATACCCCACTGAAAGGGTTTTAAACGTTCCCATCTCGATGAAACGTGATTTTTTTTCCAGGTCGACTGATATAACGTTCCCGCCGTCGAAAACGAGGCATTAGCATGAGTGCGCGCCGGCGGAGAGACCGGTAGGATAATTACACTGATTGGTCGTCAGTGCCGGATGCGGCGCTGCGAGCGCGGGTGCGCGCGCACGCGACCGTGTGCCTGTTACGCCGAACCAAACGAGCGTTATCCGCGATGGCACGCAGCTATCATCGGCACATGGCCTGGGTTGTCATTAATCGCATTGATGACCTGCGATCACGCAGATCGGATTTCGGCTCGTTCGTCGTTGCTTTTCCAATCGTTCTCGCTAATCCTGCATGCGTTTCCATCGAATTTCTATGCGTGTAATCCTCGTGAACGATATAGGTCGATTATTCAGCGATGGCTGCCACATCGGGATATCTCTGCTCGAGATCGGTAAAGGGTCTGACGCGTAGGTATTATTCGTGGGATCGGGACCGATGCGGGGAATTTTTGTTAGTCGTGTCACGACCGTTCTCGCGTCATGTTTTTATCCGGAATTGCTGGGTGGTCCAAATGAAATAATAAATTAATTCGCTCGCACCTGTGAATGAAATATTTCGCGCTGCGGCGTGGTTTATGTGACACACTTTGGCAGCTATGTTTTTGATATTTACGACTGAATGTCGAATTATGTTTTTTTGGGCAGTAAAAGGAATTGGAAATATTCGTTTGTGAAAGTTACAATCATTGTCGAATTTTTATTGTTTACCATCTGATTTTTTAATTTTCGCGCAGTGGAATTGCTAGGTAAGCGAACGACGGTTCTAGGGAATATCTGGGGACAAAAGACACTGCTGCTAGAAACATATCTTGGGTATAGATATAAGAGGATTTAAAGAAGGGGTTGACTATTTTATGAATTTTATCTATACATATTATCTATAGATATTATATATTATAACGATACCGAGATACCTTATGTTAAGACTAAGAGTATTAAATAGTCATTGATAGTAGACTTCATAGAGGGTTAAACTCGCGGGAATTAAAGTGCCAAAAGAATAACAATTTTTTTCTTTGTTTTTTTCTACAAGATTTGGAAAATAATTTAGAATTGTGGTTGATTTTATCTAGCATGTTATTATGTTTTTATTATTATTTATTTTATGTTTTACTGCGTTTTATTTAAAATAATGTAAATATTTGTTTTATGTAGATTTTTGAATGTGTTGCTACACAAAGCCAGTGAAAGTAATCAGTTATTATGCATAAAAAATTATTATACAGGTTCCTAGTACTGTGCATCTGAACGATAATTGTATAAAATATGATATAATATGAAAAAGAATAAATATAATGGTATATTATAACTACAATCAACGCTGATATGTATATGTCAGTTCCAGATTATGTCAGATCTACCTCAATGTTTGAAATTAAAAATTTGAATTATTTTTTGACACAATGGTTCAAGTATTAATTATGACAACTTGTTTTTTTAAGTAAAACATTTCATGGAAACTGAAATGAATTGAACAAATGATACAGAAGTTTGGCTAGCCCCTAGTCGAATGATGAATTGAATCAACAGGAATTTAGTCTATGATGAAATACAGGTTGGTAACTTATTCAAGAATAGAACCCTAAATATTTTATTACCTGGTATTTATATTGCGAAATTAAGTGACAGACAAACTTTCATGATTTATTAAAAGTTTTTTAATTAAATATATTAATATTGTCATCAATATTGTCATCGTATAATTTTTTTTAGTACCTCTACACCTCAATATATTAATATTAAATAAATTTTACATTAATATATAAGATAATAAAATAATTAACTTTGAGAAATCAACAAAATTTATTTTCAATAAAATGAATATATTTGTTAATTCTATTCAAAATAATTAAAACTTGAAAATATGTATTTTTATTTAAACGAAATAATAATTATTATTGGAATTTATGATACGTAATATTTATTATACAATATTTTGTGAGCAGAAAGTCCTTATGTAAAATGTTAGGTTTCCCAACAAATCCAAATCCTCTTAATTTAATATGTTACATATAACTAGTAAATCCAAATCCTTTTAGTTTAACGTATAACATATAGATAACAAATCTAAATCCTCTCAGTTTAACGTATTACATGCATTCATGAAAATCTAACCTAACTTGCAAAAGTAATATCCTATTTGTCCTAAACAGCATATTATTTTCAAAAACTTGAATTACATTAATACAATAACGTTTACTCAAAAAAGTAATCTAAAATGTATCATTCTATAACATAACAAAGAGGATAAAACAAACATAAAACGAATTTTTACAAATTGTATGTACTTTACGATTCAATACAATACTTCAAAAACCATAATATCTTCAATAACTCCAATTACATTAATATAATAAACTTTGCTCAGAATAAATAACCTAACAATTAAAAAATAAAAGAAAGTTAATTGCTTCATGTCTAAGGAAACACATAAAATAAAACAAAATTTAAAATAAATTAAAAAAATGATGCATATTTCATGGTCAGAATGGTCCAAACAGCACAGCAATATGCATCTTCAATAATTGCAATGAAAATAACCCCAATAACGTTCGCTGAAAGCGAATAACCTAACCATCCGAAATAACCTCAGACACCCCATGTATCAACAAAACACAAAATAATTAAATCCCCCCCAAAAAAGATTCTCAACTCTCCCCGTCTTGAACCGGAATCATCGATTAGAACGTACAAAGGAAACGAGAATTACGGCTCTGTATACTCGGCGGAGTAAGGAAAATGACAGCAACGCCATCTCCAAAACACGGGACTAGAAAGTACTGAGAACGCACACGCACGTGAGGATTGCGCGTAGGCAGAGAGAGCGCGAGAGCCTAAGAAAGTTACCTGAAAGGGGCAATCAATATCGTCCAACGAAGCCAGTCCACGGACGAGCCATCGAACGCCGGTGCAGCATGTTTACCGAAAAAGCAGCAGCGGCGCAGATCGAAGCGCTCTCCCTCTTTTGGCCGGCGTGGTGTGGCTCCGAGACAATCAGGCCGGGACACGGAATCACTTCAGCGACGCTAATTCGGAACGTGCTGGTATACGAAACGCTTCCGCACTGTTCCACGTCTCCCTCTTCTTCATCCTCGCACCGAAAACAGTTGTAGATCGTGCGGTCTTTCTCCCACTAGCGCGCCACCAGCGGCGTGCGTCCTCGTCGCGCGAACCCCCGGCACGGTTCACCTCGGGGTTCCCCCCTCCCGCCGCGGAACGGGTATATAGCCTCGCCTCCGAAATTCCTCGCTTGTACACTCTTGGCTCGTGCTACGAGAAACGTGGGAAGATTCTCAGGCCTGGAGAAGCCCCGAGCGCCCCCCACCACGCGCGCCCAACACGCGTTGCAACCGTCTGCGTGGCCTTTGTCGAGCGCGTGCGTGTGCGTGTGTACGTTCACAGCTCGGCCGTGCGGAACACATGCACGCGCGGCTTTATGTGGGAATACAGAGGCGTCGCGCGGCTCTATCGCTCCGTCCTTCTCGCTCTCGTTTCGGTCGCATTGTGCACCGAGCCGTGAGTCCTCTTTGTGCGGCAGAAGAGCCAACCCGGCCGGTAATGTAACCTTACCGTGGCCCCATTGCCGCTTGTTGTGCACATAATACGAGGCTATTGTACCGAGCACGGGCCATATTGTTGCCCACATCTCGGTCGGCACCCTGCCACGCCAACGGCACCGACGATCCCCTTTCCTTATTCTCTTACTTGCTCTCGTCGCAGTTCTTCTGTCTTTCTCGCTCCTATTTCGTCTTTCTTCGGTCGGGAAGCTTCTCTCTCCTCACGTGGCCGCGTTGATCTGAATCTGCGCGGATGTCGAGAAGGGTTTACGTGTAGTAAGGGTGCCGTTCGTGCGGGGCTTGGCGCTGCGTTCGCGTGATGGGTGTTCCAGAGATGGTTAATTCTTTTTCTTTTTTTTCCTTCTTTTCTCTTTTTCTCCTTTTGGTTCTTGTTTCGCGCTGTGTGTACGGTGACGTTGGGGAGATTGGACAGGAGAGATGGGGTGAACGGTAGTCGTTTAGTAGGTCCGATTTCTTTTGGACAATTTGGGGAGGGGAATGAATAGCGGATAATGGATGAAACTGTATACAGAAATTATGGTATTGTATCATGTTATATGTATTAATATGCTGTATTAATTCTTGCTACTAATAGGTTTTTTGTTATAGGAAAGTAACATGTTGAAGGAATTTTTTATATAATATGAAAAAATTTTATACAAATTGGTGAGTAAATATTACTAATATATTACTAATTAACTACTATATTAGTAATTTTCGTGCCCTTATTGGTAGCTTAGAGTTGCTTCGCGAGTTCAAAGGGTGTATATTGAAAATTTATATACCGGGTGTATATTATGTTTGGACACAGTGGATTAAAAATTTGAAGGCAATACTAATTACCAGATAGTGTTAAAAAATAAAAATATGTATAATGTTGCATCCTCTGATACTGTTAATGTAACGAACATAGTTAAAACTGACACAGTGTAATATTAAATAAAAAGAAAAAAGAAACCTAATTCAGAAAAGCATTCGTATCAATAAATACAAGACTGAATAGCATGAAGGAAACATAACCAAGGTATTAACAATGTATTTGTTACTCTTTTCTTCGTTTTTCTTCGATTTATAAATCGAAATATCGATATAGGTTATAGATAATTATTTATATATTTATTTATAAAGAATTTCTTTTCGTTTCACGGCTTTATGTTTAATAAAATGGAATTTGTTATATGAATACTGCATCAAATTTGTATCATACTTATTTAATTTCGACTTTTATATTGAATTTTATATTTTATTTCGAGTTCGTTCACCTTAAGCATTTGGGTGCCAATTGGCTTGCCTTAGGAAGTACATGTATCTAGAAGGTTATCCTATTTCAGTGAAATAATTTCATATTTACATGATTTAAAAATATTTTTCTACAAGAAAAAAAAAATAAATAAATAGTTTTAAATCGTAAAAAAATATTTATATTGGTAGTAGTATATTCAATTTTAACTAGTATAGTAGTATTACAACTAAGATTTTTGTTTTTTTTTTTGTACCTTAATAGCTACCTTGATTTTCTTTTAAGTTTCCTAACTTGGGAAATATAACAAAATTATTATTATATAATTTCTTTTTTATATTGAAATTTAATTTCTTTTAGCAAGATTTTCTAAAAGAAAAATTTCAAAAAACGTTAGCAACTGTAGGGAGAATTAAAGAAATTAAATTTGAGAATTATAATAAAATTGTGACATTTATATTGCATAAAATGTAAATATAAATATTCTATGTCTGTATCACTTAAATCATTATGTAATCTAATGGTATATAATCGTAAATACATATTTTGGATATTTCGAGAATTATTATTTACAAAATTTTAGTACGAAAGAACCAAAACCAAAATATATAAAATATAAGAATTATTATGAAACAAAATTTTACTGCAAAAGTTCCAAAATTAAAATAAAGAAATAAGTATATAAAATAGAAGATATTGAAAAAATTCGTAGCACAAAAGTATGAAAACCAAAATAAGGAAATAAATATATAAAATATACGAATTTTCATTCTACAAAATTTTAATACAAAAGTGAAAAAACTAAAATAATAAAATACTTCAAGCACTATTATTCGTCAAAATCTTATTGGAAAAGTACCAAAAGCAAAATAACTTTCCACAAAATTATGGAAGAATATAAAAAAATCCGAATAAATCATTAATACCCTATTATAATCACTGTGTCGAGGGTTGTAATTTGCAGCGAAGTGTATTATATAAAATAATGTATATAAAATACTTCAAGTACTATTATTCGTCAAAATCTTATTGGAAAAGTACCAAAAGCAAAATAACTTTCCAAAAAATTTTAAAAGGATATAAAAAAATCCAAATAAATCATTAATACCCTATTATAATCACTGTGTCGAGGGTTGTAATTTGCAGCGAAGTGTATTATATAAAATAATGTATATAAAATACTTCAAGTACTATTATTCGTCAAAATCTTATTGGAAAAGTACCAAAAGCAAAATAACTTCCCACAAAATTTTGAAAGGATATAAAAAAATCCGAATAAATCATTAATACCCTATTATAATCACTGTGTCGAGGGTTGTAATTCGCAGCGAAGTGTGGTGCAAACGCGCCATAAGTTGACATCCGCATTGAACCGCGAAAAATGTAAAGCGACCGTAACGGATCCACTTAACTCGCTGCATCGTCCGACCTAACCCTTTCGACGTTAAGCCAGTCGATAACAATCGCACGCTTCCATCCAAGCATAGCCCGAGTGACCCATTTACCGTGACGCCTATAGGCGTACACTGCACGCTATCCGCTTTTAGCAGACGAATCCTCGGCGGCAAAAGGTGCATGCAGACAAAAGCTATTAGACCGATGCCAACACGCTGCTCGTCAAACTCGCTGCTATCGTTAGTCGTCGTGAAGTATAATCAATCATATCAAGGAAGGAGGAATTTGCCGCAATTCGCCTGCATTGAACGCTAACAGGATTTGTAATGGAAACGTTAAAAGGTTATTAGTAGGTGTCAGTAGCTATTTGCGGAAGGGAAAATATATGCAATATAGGATACTGGTAATATGTAATTTTCGCAATTGATGGTGCCTTTTCTTTTTTTCTTTTCTCTTTGTAGGATGGAATGTTCCTCATTCGTTAAATATGATCATATGGTGGCGAGTGAGATTACACAGTTGGGATAAGATGGTAACTAAATTATCTAACTAAATTAAAAATTAAATGTAATTACTATTTTGTGCTGAATATACTAATGATATTAAAATATGATATATAGGGTATATAGAATATCCCAAATGTATAAATGTATGTAGAATATAAAATTTAGTAGATTCTAAGTATATGTTGTATAATAAAATTGTATATAGCTGGATTATATATGATGGAATATATAGAATATATAAAAAAATCCGAATAAATCATTAATACCCTATTATAATCACTGTGTCGAGGGTTGTAATTTGCAGCGAAGTGTATTATATAAAATAATGTATATAAAATACTTCAAGTACTATTATTCGTCAAAATCTTATTGGAAAAGTACCAAAAGCAAAATAACTTTCCAAAAAATTTTAAAAGGATATAAAAAAATCCAAATAAATCATTAATACCCTATTATAATCACTGTGTCGAGGGTTGTAATTTGCAGCGAAGTGTATTATATAAAATAATGTATATAAAATACTTCAAGTACTATTATTCGTCAAAATCTTATTGGAAAAGTACCAAAAGCAAAATAACTTCCCACAAAATTTTGAAAGGATATAAAAAAATCCGAATAAATCATTAATACCCTATTATAATCACTGTGTCGAGGGTTGTAATTCGCAGCGAAGTGTGGTGCAAACGCGCCATAAGTTGACATCCGCATTGAACCGCGAAAAATGTAAAGCGACCGTAACGGATCCACTTAACTCGCTGCATCGTCCGACCTAACCCTTTCGACGTTAAGCCAGTCGATAACAATCGCACGCTTCCATCCAAGCATAGCCCGAGTGACCCATTTACCGTGACGCCTATAGGCGTACACTGCACGCTATCCGCTTTTAGCAGACGAATCCTCGGCGGCAAAAGGTGCATGCAGACAAAAGCTATTAGACCGATGCCAACACGCTGCTCGTCAAACTCGCTGCTATCGTTAGTCGTCGTGAAGTATAATCAATCATATCAAGGAAGGAGGAATTTGCCGCAATTCGCCTGCATTGAACGCTAACAGGATTTGTAATGGAAACGTTAAAAGGTTATTAGTAGGTGTCAGTAGCTATTTGCGGAAGGGAAAATATATGCAATATAGGATACTGGTAATATGTAATTTTCGCAATTGATGGTGCCTTTTCTTTTTTTCTTTTCTCTTTGTAGGATGGAATGTTCCTCATTCGTTAAATATGATCATATGGTGGCGAGTGAGATTACACAGTTGGGATAAGATGGTAACTAAATTATCTAACTAAATTAAAAATTAAATGTAATTACTA